GCGCGCGCCCCGCCCGCGCGGCGAGCGGGCCCTGCCCTCATAAAGACGAGGGTGATCTAGGGGTCGGTCAGCAGAGATGAAGTTTTGTTTTGTTTTAAACAACGCACTTGGGCAGGAGTTAAAGTTGAGCGGAATGCTCAAATTTATGTATTCATCAATAAGGGGATTTCCCCACAGTCTGGCTGAAGAGCAGGACAAAGGGAGGGGAGACTGAGCGGAGCCATGAGCGAGTAGGACAAAAAGAGCCATCCGCAAGGAGGTGGGGGCATTTACAAAAGAGGGAAATAGGGGAATTCCCCCACATTCTTCAGCAAGGGGGACAAAGGAGTTGGGTGGCCTTAGGTGAGAACAGATGGCAGGAGGCAGGAGTTCGGTGTAGGCGGCCGGGAAGGCGGTAGCTTCTGAGGACCTTGCCCAAAGGGGAAAAGGAGAGGGCGTCCCTAGCTCCGGAAATTAGGATAAACGGGGGGCTGCGTCCTCCAGCAATTTGAGAGACCCCACAGGGATATGCCCAGTGGACTCTCCCTTTATTCAAATAAAGTTTTAGGACTCCTCTGTCTCCTTTTTGACATTCAGTTCCTGACAGCGAGATTTTCCACACAAAGTACAGACCTTACACGTTGACTTAGAAGGATACATTACCTTTCTCGATTACACAAAGCTTTGAGCAAATATACTGATCAGATGATATATGCAAGCAAAATATTTCCAAGATAAAATTGAAAAGAACTTGTATAACAAAGTATTCTTGATCACTTAATGTTTGCTCATATGGAGAAAGAAGTATTTAATATTTTGATTTGCATGTTTTCCATACAACTATATAATATCTGTAAATAACAAAAACTTTTGTTTTTTACAGTGTATTTGTGGGAGATATTCAGGAAATTATTAGTCTTTCTTGACAGCTAACGAGACACAGAAAACTTCGCTTTTTTTCTATTCTCTAAAAATCCAATTGTAACTTTTCAGGTAAAGCTCTGGAGGTCACGTCAGGAGGACGCAGTGGAGCGTGCGCCAGCGAGGCGGGCAGAGCAGCGTGATGCCCTATCTGCACCACATGTTTGGCAGCCACTTTGGAGCACGGTAAAACAAAAGCAATGGCCTTGAAGTAAGCCTGTCTCTTACCGCCGCTAAACATAAATGGGTCTGAAATTCTACCACACAGAGGCAATAGTATAGAAGCAATTTCCAAACTAAGAGCACAGACGCTCTTATAACTTGATGATGTTTTATAATATTGTTTCAACCTGCAAGCAAGTAAAACAGAACTGTTGTGCAGTTACATATGTCATTCTTGCCATCGATTCACCTGTCACTGGATTAATAGTGCCTCCGTGTTTTGTGTAATGCCTCGTGGTTATTTCCTAGCTGGTGCAGAGTATGTGAGTCTCCAGGCTCACATTCGTTTTTCTGGAAGAAGGATTTCCCAGACTACCATAAGGCTATTTCCTAATTAGCATATTGTCAGTAAGGAAAACTCCACTTAGCTTGTGTAATAGCTGTGTGATGGCTCATTTCCCTCAGCTGGAGAGGAATATGAAGTAGCCAAACTACTTACACATATACATCTACATATACACACACATACAAACATGCACACATGCAAGCGTATTCATGGACACCCACATGGGCCAAGTTACAGAAAATCGAAGGAAATCAGGCTTTGATATATTTATTTTAAAAAGGTAGACAACAATCTTCCCTTTTTGGGCTTCAGAGTAGCTGTGCATGTTTGCATTTACAGTTAACCTTCCAGCCCTGTGGGTGCCAGGTAGTGTAAGCCTTAACATGAAGCTCAGGTGTATAACAGCAGCTGTTCTGAGAAGCCCCAGCAATGTGCAGGGCACAAACAGCCTCCATTAAAGTCCACCATGGTTAAAATCACTAGTAAAGATTGCTGTGATCTCACCAAGCCAAATTTTCTCTCGTAAGTAGAAAATATAATCTCTGCCAGAAGTGTCTCTCAGCAGGCTAGCTTTACAAGTATGTGCTGTGCCTTGTGTAATATTTGGTGAGTATGGGCCGATTTATCATCACACCCTGCAAAGGAGTCCCCCATCGCCACCTTTACAGAGTGCTCAAATCCATATACAATTTATACCAGCAGAGAGGATTCTTTTACCAATATGTCAGCCATCTTCAACAGCGCAAACTTGGCTGTTGAACCAGCAAAGAACTTTTGCAGGTTAAAAATGCACATGTATAGAAATGTGGGCCAGCATAAATACTGGTTGAGGACATGACCTCATCACATTTGTCATTAATATAGGCACAATTTTCAGCTGTATTCCTGGCCTAAGATAGGTGGTAAGTGGCATGTCTCTAGTTACAAAGATACATTTCACTTCAGCTATTACCTCTATATGACCTGGTATATATATTACCTCTATATATACCTGGCTCCTTTAGTTAGTGCAGAGAAATGACCACTTCTAGGTCAATTTTCAGCTTGTCCTAGCCAAGCCTAAAAGATCTCAAACCGACTGTAGTTCCCATTTCTTTGCGTGGGTCACAGAGGGAGCTAACTTTGAGGTGGACACTTCCGTCACAGGGCCGTCATTGAAGCAGGATCTGACACTGAACAGGTTGACAGGTGACTGCAGCTCTCCTTTTCTCCGCATTCCTCAGCAATAATCACTCTTTGCAAAAAGTTCTCTGCTGTTACACTGGCCATCAGTTCACCTCCAAGCCGACAAGGACAGTCCAGTAGCCAGGCTTTAATCGTTTGCTGGCTTTCAGAAAGGGCATTTTCACGTTGGAGGTGTAAACAATTGAGGACTGCGAAGAAAATGTGCGTATGTTTCAGTCACTCCGTGGGTTGCTGTGGCAATGACTGCAGATGATAGAGCAGTGCTCTGACAAGCTTCAGATTTGCGGCGCTGCAAGGCAGAACACAGTTCTGCAAAATACTTGCAGATGGGGAAGGCTTTGACTGGAAGGCTTTTCTCAAGGATTGGCTGAATCTTCCCAGGCACACGCATGTACATTTCTTGATAGTAATTTCACAGAAGAGTAACTTTAAACCTTGGATCTAATAAATGTTATTATTATTACTATTAAAGTTATTATTTCCCAAAGTATTTAAGCTACTTGAGAATTCACATCCTTTCAAACTCTCAGAAACATTCAGCTCTGAGGCTGTAATTACTAATGGAGAGTAGGTGTATTTATATGCTATTGTACCGCATATAAATAAATACTTTGGAGGTTTTGTTGGTTAGAAGCCAAAGTTACTGAGGTGCTTTAGGAATAGAATTTGGGGGTATTCTATTTTTTTTCTTCCTTAAAAAAGTACCCCTCCACCAGCAACTCTGCTCCACACAGAACCCGTGTTATCTAGAAGGGAGCAGTAATAGCTAATCCTGCTTAAGTGAAACAGGCTGCTTTTCCTATGAGCTTTATTCTCATGGCTTCTTTTCCTCCTGATTTAAAAATGTTGTCCCTCCAGTCCAAGAACAGAAGCAAACTCCAGTGGCTCGCACAACCATGTGCATAACCAATGTTGCACAACACCCAGAACAGCACAGCTTAGGCTTTAAATGTTCAAAATATGCGGTGTCATAAACAATCCAATTTTCACTACTTACCCTGTACACACTCTTGCTTACATTCTTAGCCCTATCACACCTAAAAGGAGAAAGTGGGTCTGTTTCCTACACTTTCTCTAATCAAGCTGGAGATAAAAGAGTCAGAGCTCAGTAGTTCTAAATGCAGTACTCATTTTAAGCCTGTAAAGGGAGCACAGCCCCAAGAATGGAAACTTAGTTTTTTACCCAGAAGACAGCTGTGTCTGCTGAGTGACAAATCAAATAAATCCTAAACTTCTTTTAAGAATTGATTAATCCTTATCAAGTAGAATTTAATCAAAAGCTGTCTGCTGACAGACCAGAAGATTGATGATGGTATGTCCAACCCTCCATAGCTTTTATGCTAAGAGAACTAGTAGCAATATTTCAGACCTTGCAGCTTTATAGAAAGTTATAGGGATTTATTGGTTAGAGGAAAATCTATTGTAATGGATTTACAGCCTCGTTCTGCTGACAGACATGTACACTCAGCCATCTGGAGAAGTAGAACACTGCACTCTTCATGGAAATCTGATCTTGCAAGGGGCTGGAGAGCCTCGGACCACCAAGTGGTGAGGAGCCACGGCTGTCAGTGCAGTCTGATGCAGAGCGGGA